ATGCAAAGCACGGATCAGGCAACTGTGGAAAACCTAAATGAACTGCGGCAAGACTTGTCAAAATTCCGAAATGAAATGAGAGACCTGCTTGGCTTTCGAACTTCTAAATATGCTATGTTTTATCCGAGAAACTAAGGCCTAACTTTTAAATGAAAAGTGTGTACTTTTAGATACTTATAGGTGAAAGTGTTGACCTAATTCTTCGGCCAGACCAAATAGAAGATTACTGTGCAAAAATACATTTGAAAATGTGCTTGCATGAGTTGCAGCTAGATGTGGAAGTGGTGGAAATAAATGCAAACCCAGATACAGTAATTTTCTTAAGCTCTCTTAGCGTGTATATAAAATTTGTACATAGGAATTTTTTTAATGTTCCTCAGACTGTGGCTGTCAGGTGTCAGAGCTTCATAACTAGCACAGTGTGTTTATTTCTTCTATTTTTGCTGGTTTTCCCTTTTTGATACTTGCTTTTGAAGTTGTGGAAGAAGATAGGCTTTTTAAAAGAAAAATCCAGCCTATGTTTATTTTTAATAGAAAAGTCAGATATAGAAAAATAGAAAATTTCCAGCACAGTTGGAAATTATGTTTGACTGTAGGTTACAGTGCATGTGAAGACTGTATGGCTCTGAAAGAGGCAGTTCTAGTGCCAAGTTTTGTATGTTAACCTTGACTGTATACTAATATTTATACAATACAGAAAATCAAATCATCAAGACTCTTCCCTTTTGTGAGCACATTGAAATTTTGAACTCAAAACAGACCAGCCATTTCTTGAATGTTTATGGCTATATGTATGACAATCAATTCCTGCTTGAATTTTTCAGCAGTGCCTCAGAAGTACATTTTACTATAAGTGTTAAGATCTGGAACAGAATTTTAAAACTTATAAAGTTTACTATCTTGGGGGTTTAAATCAGGATGATTAATTATTTGAATTATTAAAACCTGTGATTTAACGAAAAAGAGGTGGAGCACATGAGTGCTGTTGTTTGCAGTGCTGAACAATTCCTTTGAAACACTACACATTTCTGTGAGAACATGCATTGAATCTGGTCACCGGACAGATGTAGTTTAGAAAAGCCTGCCTTAGACAGGTTTTCCATATCCTTCTTTTAAACTTGTCTTTCTTTTTTCCTTTGTTTTACCACAGTTTTTGCCAAGCTAAACATTTTGTGTGTTTGTGTGTCAGGAATATTATGTTTTGTGAAAACATGTGATTTGACTTCGCTTAAAATGAACAGTAAGGGCTTTGTGGTTTGTCTGTGCTGGAGGGTCCTATATGGCTTTATATGTTTATGTATAATTCAAGTTGACAAATTGTGAGAAATGTGAGATTCCTGTATTTTAATTATGAAATGAGTATATTTATGACAGCTTAAGGATTGATTGACAATTTTACTGTTACGATGGTGCTCTTCTAAAATGGTCTTATGTCCAGAAGGCGCAGGTAGCCGTAGTGGTCTTTGCAGTTGATTTTGGGAGGTTACACAAGTGGAGGCTTACATGAATGTTTACTTTTTTGAAGGAATTCTTATAAAACTTTCTTGTAAAGGTAATATATTTTCTGTACTATGAAATTATGTATTCTGAACTAGGGTTTACTACACTGCTTCCAGAAGTCTTACAGTAGAGAGGGATTCTAGTAAGTGTTGGCTTTTCATGTGAATAAGAAGCTAACCTCTTGTCTTCAAAGCGAAGAGGATCACTGAATTTTGTATTTGGGCTTAAATCTTCTGTTTGAAAAACTGTGTGCTGTGTATGTTACATATATCCAAGAAAGGAAGCAGTCCAATAAAAGCTCTTTGAAAAATATGGTTGTACTAATGTTAGTCATGTTTGAAACATAACAGGTACCAAAAGGTATCAAAAGTAATTTCTTCGTTATGTTAAGATAAGTTTAAGGAATGTAGCTGCTGTTAATGTATTATTACCTCTTTTTGTGTGGACCCATCCTGTTCATTTGGGTAGCTTCACACAGCGAAGCAGCATGCCAGCGTAGCTGTTTCTAATTGCTGTTGGTATGTTGAGCAGAGTCACTCAGAGCTAGCTTGGTCATTATCAAGTGGGGATGTTTTCTACTGCAGTTCAGGCATATGCTTAGGAAGAATTGCCTACTTCAAAGCACTTGAGGGTTTGGGTTGGAACTGGGGGTTCCAGAGTTTTATTTGTCCTTGAAATACATACCTGTAAAGTGACAGATGCTAGAGAGAGAGGTCTCTTCTCTGTACTACCTGAATTGTATGACACTTTGTATCTCAGTTGTCTTTGAAAGCTGTTCCAGTCTTTCTTGGCTACTAATCGATATGGTGTGCTTTGTACTACTTGCTCAGTCTTGACTTAACATTTAGAATTTTCTTGGTCACTTACTGTTGCTTTCTCATTTGGCAGTTTTTAATACTGGCTGTTCCAGAAGTATTCAGCAGATGTTGGGGCTCCAACATGAGATCTTCTCATGCACACTCACAGAACAGTTCTGGACATGTGCAGAGACAAAATTTTAGGTGTCTGTGATATTTCTTTAAACTGAGATGTAAAAAAAAAAAAAAAAAAGGTTGGGGCAGCGGGAGTTTTTGCCTGGAGGACTTAGAATGTCTTTGTACAGATTTTAGTGCAAGTCATAAGAGGACTAAGTGGGGGTTTTGAGACTACTGAAAAACATTGATTTTTCTTTCCTTTCATGTTAATGTCTGTTTTGGAGCGAACTTTGCCTTGATGAATGAAAAATGGAGATGGAAATTTTCATGCTACCTCCATTTGCAGAAAAAATGTCAAAACCATTAATTACAGAAAGCTTACTTTATCCTTTTGCCAAACTGTGGTTTAGATTATAATTTCTGTTGAAATCATATCAGAAATTGCGTTGTGGTTAGATAATTTTGATTCTGTTTGGTTGCAGATTAGATTTTAAGTGCTTGAAGTTTACAGTCACTACATCTGCTTTTAAGATCTTGTAATAGTTGTTACCTGTGTTTTGTAACCAATTCTGGCTTGAGAAAACTGGCACTGCTCTGTGTTTTTTTGAAGTCCTGGCTCCTGTTGTTACAGGGCTACAGCTGTCGGTGCTTTGATTTGGGAAAGAAACTGTTCTAGAGGGAGTGCTGTGGCAGGCGTTTTCCCTACCTACCATTTGGGAGACAAGGAGCAGGCTGCCAGACTCTTCTTGCCTTTCTGAAAAAAGCCAGATGACAGATGGTCATGTCATTATAAATAAAAATAGATTATTGTAGTTCAAGACAGTTCCAAGCATGATTTCCACACTGCTTCTCTGCAGGCTGCTGCTAAAAAATGCAGAGAGCACTGTGCATAAACCCCCTTCATCTGCATAGGAATCAATACAGGAAAATTAAAATTTTAAATTTTTTAAATTGCAAAACTACATCTGCTTTGCGAACAAAGTGTTGCTGTCAGTTCCATAGAGAAATGCTGTTTGGTTTAGGCAGGCAGGCAAAGGCCTAGCAGTCTGTAAAGTGTGGCTACAGTAGTGAGCTGTGTGATGGGAGCTGCCAGCACAGCCTTTTTGTGGCTTTGTGCCTTCCTCTGGTTCTTTTGTCTCCTGCCTGATTACCCATACATTCTCCAAGCAGACACTGCTGTGCTACTGACTTGCACTTGTGGCAGTGCCTCATGGCATTACATAGGAGAATCAATAATTGAAGAAGAGTGGTAATCTGCATTCCACTACAAAAATAAGCAGTAAGTACTTCCAATAGAGACTGTATTTCATTACAATTTTCTGCCTATGGATACAGATTACCAAAAGAACTCTGGTACAGTTATGTATATATGAGTAAAACAAGTACAAAGGGATCTTAGATTCTGTTCCATCCATGTTATTTTTTATTAGTATTCAAGTTTTAGCCAGCTTGAAAAGCGTGTTTTTCGCGTTTGCTTTTGAGCAGAATGTTTTTGAAATTCTTAGTATTAATGTTCTACTATAATGTTTCTATTCCTTTGTCTTTGGTTATAGCCTTTCAGCTTCAGAGTAACAAGTAACTGTATAAGAGGCTGACCTAACAAAGATCCCGTAACATTATAACATCGTCTAACTGCTTCCAGTCTGTTCCTTCCCTTCTTCTCAAAATACCTGCTGGTTCAACCTTTTGCATATAGGAATGAAATAAATTAGACAGATACACTACTATTTACACTCCTGGTGCCAAACTGAGCATGGCTGTATTCTCTGTTCTTTCAAAGTAGAGCCAAAAGCTTAAACTACTTGCATGTGTACTTCACTGCCACTAAATTAATTCCTACCTTTCTCCTCCCTAATTACCTTATGGAACCTAATAGTGACATTTCGTAACTAAGTAACGGTCAATAAGAGAAAAAAGCATGGTGATGTTTTACAATTGTCTTGATTCTTTGAAGAGAAAATCCTATTCAAATCAACAACTTGATGGAAACCAACTAACTTCAATAGAAGGAAAAACACACCCTTAATGAGCAAAGAAGTGTAGTGTCAGTCATACTATGCAAGACTCAAACTATCAAAAGCATGTGAATGATCAAAAAAGGGTTTCTATGTTTAGTCTGCACCACTGTATACATAATGAATAACTAGTTAGTGTATGATTTAGTCTTAAAATATTTTATTAAGCACAGATAATACTGCAGAAATCCATGTAATAAAACAACTTTAGAGAAAAAGCTAAGATAACATGAGTTACTATAAATACTACACTTAGAATTCTTATTTTACATACACAACTCCTTAAAAAATTGGACAATTATAAATTAACAACTTCCAAGTAATTGGAATTTGGTATGTTTGAGATCAAATGGCTGTGCTGCTAATCTTCAGCTTTTAAGACTCAGGAGGATCTGTTCTTGTCTTGTACAAGTATTGTTGCCACTTTGTGCCAGGGTGTGCTCAGGTGGATGGGATGGAAGAAGGGGCAAGCGTGGCCTTAGTATTGGCAATCAGTTGTATCTTCATGACTTACACTAAGTGAAAATTGTTTTTCAAGAGAGATGATAGAATGCAGCTGCAGAGTTTAGTTTTAACATGTTTTGGTTTTCAAGGCATTTAGGATCTTTGAGTTCTTAGTCTTAAAACTCATGACAAAGCTGTTGGGAAAGACTTTGCCTCTACCATCTTCTTCTACCTGGCCCATGATGATGTAGTTTAAACCTGCAAAGGAGAGGATGAGATTACAAGACAGAAAACCAGGATATGATTTGGTAACTATAGTTCTTTATCTGTGGTCTCTTCTTTTGGATGCTGACCAATGCCTAACCATATTTATTTTCTTCTTTTCTACCTAAAACATATACTTCCTTACCTATCTTTGCCATGTTTTTCACATGTACAATTATGTAAAATCAAAGTAGATATATAGCTAAGTATCTACCATATAATTAAATATATAGGAAATATTCATTAAATGTAGCCTGTCACATGAGTCTGAAAGACATTAGAAATGCAGAATAAACACTGGATCACTTAGCTACTAACACCCCAAGTGGAATATGTCTCATTCATTTTGAATATTTTCTCATTTGCTCAGCTTGTATGATAATGCACTTAAGTCTTTTTATTCTGCTTGCCTCCCCCAGAGACAAACATTTTCTAGATACGTGAAGAGGCAGTCAAGCAAGCAAGGTAGACATAATGTGTGATAAGCCCTGGCTTTGGAGAAATGGGATGGATTTGCATATTTTTATGGCTTAGAAGGGCTAGGAGTTTGCAAGGCCTTAGGTTGGAAGGAGTGGTAGGTATTAGAGGGGTATAAGCAAAAAATTTAGATATTAAGTAATGGCTATTAAATAATTCATGTTGATTTAGGAGGAGAAACAGAAGTCTGTGGTTCGGAGCCAGCAGTCTGCCTAAAAGGAGACAGTTTGTTCCACCAAGGATCATACATCTCTCAGACAGATGTCTAATTCCCAAAGAACTAAAGGTAAAAGCAAAATCTAGTTTCTAACAAAGATTTTTCTCTATGGTACTGCCCACTTTGAAATAATATGCTTCAATACCAGTAGTATCCTCAGTGTTATCAGAGTTTTTTTGATGCTTATTATATTATTATGATTGTTTCCTGCTATGGTTCCATTTATGATCTCCTGCCTCAGGAGGCAGAGCATAAAACTGGTTTATTTTTTGACTTGCTTTGATAAAAAGTAGTCTCTGTGTTTCTTATAATGCCATATAGGTAGCTCTTGTTACATTTAACTGGAAATAATCTTGATTGATCTCTTTACAGTATTGCTTAAGATAGCTATAGAAATACTGTCTGTTTGCAGATACAGAGTGGGCTTAATAGTGCTAGTATTTCTACAGTAAAGATGTAAATATATACAAGAGCAAAGCAACAGGGAAATGTGTTGATTTTTGACCTTTGCTGTGACATACTGCTGTTCTAGGTTTAGCTTGGTGTTGTTTTTCTCTTCTAAATAACTGTGTATGAAAACTAGCTCAAAAATCATACATGTAAAAAGAAATAACTATGTAACTGAGCTTCATGTGAGAGAACCAAATCAGATTTTACTTTATCATATGGGTTTAAAAAAAATACTTTTTTTTAAACTCCTTTGATCTAGGTGAGTCTAATCCTCATAAGTAAAACTGAAGAAAACAATATAAAGCTGGATAACTAGTTATTTTTATATTAAATTATGATATTAGTTGCTGATTATGGAAACAATTACTGTAATTTTATGGATTTTTGTGGTCATATTTCAAGTAGCAGTTTTCAAAATTGTCTTTTATAAACACACAAAGAGGTTATTCTTGTGTACTTACCTCTTCTGATGAGAGGACACTGCTTACATACAACAATAATCTTGGCACTCATACTCTTGCCAGCTTGCTGAATTGCTAAATTTCCCTCCTTATATACATTAATGATGGATATTGTGGCATGCAGACTTCCAGCCCGTGTTATTGCTGTGATTACAGTTCCAGTTATCACTAGAAGAAAAAAAACATTTGGTACACTTTTATTTAGACAAAAATTTTGAGGCATAAGAAAAACTAAGTATATTAGTTCATAATAAGGAGACAAACAATACTGGAAACACATACTAAAATCACCTGTAATAGATACCTTACTACTGACAAATTTTGGTGGCACCAAAATATAAAACTATTTTGGAATGTATCAGTTTCTTGCAAGCCCGGTTCTGGGTTTTGATAATTTCAATTAAACAGTACAATTTGATACTACTTTCAAAGACTAATTTTGAAACACTAGAGAGGTTGAATTGAAAACATTCTAGCCAAAAGCTGAATTCTCAGCTCTCTGACACTCTCAAATGAGTAGCAGGGAATAGTTAATGCCCTAGGAGCTAGATTTTGATCTGTATGAGGCCTGATATGGATAGGACTTTGCCAATTTCAGCTAAATTTTGATAACAGATTGGATTGTCATATCTTCCAATGACCTGTCAGGTGAAAATAAAGATACCATTTTTATTCCTGGGATGACTAGAATATTCCTGGGAATAATAAGTGGTATTAACAATAGTTTGGTTTGGTTTTCAGATCACCTTTTGTAAATAAGCTATTCTATCCTAGGATGAATTCGATCTTCAGTTATCAAGTATGTGCAGCCAGATTTATTTTACAAATCTGCATGCTCCACATTTTGGGTTAGGCATTTGTAAATTTGCACGTTATCTTCCTTTAATCCAGAGATTTTAATTAAATAGGAATGTTCAAGTTCAGTCAAAAGAGAACTATGGATGTTAAAATGCTGGGTACTGCAGTTATATTTCTAGAAACAGTAAAAATGAAATGTATCGTGAAAGACAAATGGCTCTTCTAAATTCATAAAGTCAGCAAATAAACTTAGAATAAACCATATTCTACAAACAGTACACTTTCTGTTCTTCCCTTAGGATACATTTGCATTCACAGTAGCATACAAAGTATTTTTACTCTTATTCCTGCCATGGAAAAGACTAAAATATTAAAGTATTTGACAGAAGGTGTCAGAGAATAGGATTTATTACTCTGATGCTAGAAAAGTTTCATGTAGTGTCATTTACCATTGACTACAAGAGCTGAGGTTTGGTCAGTAAGAGGAGACCTAGGTTTTGGGGCTTTTTCCCTACCTGCTTTTGGCCTTGGCCCAGCCTATACTGGTTGCAAATTAAAACAGGCTGGTGGTCAAGAGTGGTAAGGGGTCACGATGCAGTGGCTCCATTCTGGTTTAGGGTACAGCCACAGCCTTCAACTGTTTTTCTAGCAAAATTATGCAATCCTGTGAGATTTCCCCAAATTTTACGGGATTAGCTGTGAAGTTAGAGTTAGATTAAAACAAACAAATAAAATTGGTTTGTGTTTGGGAAAATTATCCCATCAAACTTTTAGGCTTGTTACAGAGGATTAAAAAAGCTTTGAGTATTAATATCAGAAAATACTCTGAGACATAAGTGAATAAATCAGGACTAAAAATGCCATCTAAACATATAGCAGGCACCATTTTCCCAAGTGATGTCTGTGTACAGAAAGCAGTGCTTGTAAGCTTCCATGCCTTCTAATTTCTTTTTAAAATATATTGGGAGAAGTCTATGAATTGAATTGTGGAATAGTCAGCAGGTACAGCATAAATTGTGTATTGGCTGGTTACAGACAGATGAGATGACAATACAGTAATTGAATCACATCCCTCCTGTAGGTGGTTGTCTTACATTGTCATTTGCTTTTCAGATTGATAAAGTATGTTTGAAACACACACATATGCAGTGCCCATTTCAGAATATCTCTAAGAGTGTATGGAGTGATACACAGATACTAATGTCAGATATACACATAGGATGGTATAAAAAATATAGCCTACATATTCATGATAAGTCAGAACTACACCTGGTAAAATTCTTATGAATCTAAAAACACACTGCCAAGTGAATAATTGAAAAGGAATAGTTTGCTTCCTTACCAAAGTTGCTTGAACAATAATTGCTTTCGAGAGTCCCGCTCCTCTTACACTTTTGCTGGCACAGGGCAACTGTAGGTTTCAAAACTTTTTGAAGAGCAAAAAGTAAAATGAAGTGAGGGTTTTGATACAAATGCAAAACAGTATAGTTAAAAAAAAAATAAATTAACAATCCTGATATATACATTAACTAGATCTGGTATTGCAAGGGACAAACATCACAATAGTGATACTCCTTTTCTCTGCCATCACCTCCAATCACTGTCTTTCCATGTGTGCCCCAGCTCCGTATCTCTTCTAATGACCTTATAGAATGGGATGTTACAGAAAATTTACATTTGATTGCAGTGCAATCTTAAATATGTAACTTAGGAGTGTTGTCTGTTGCCATACAGCCCTGGTGGTACACTGAAAGTGTCATAATACTGTATTATACTAGCACTTGAGAGGGAAGGGGTGACCTTTTATCTGAAATTACTGTACTGTGATGGGAGAGATCAGAGTTCAAATTCCTGACTTTTCTATTTTCCTAAATCTCCCACATAGCTCTATGATATCTAGTACTGTATAGTTTTTATTGATGGTATTTTGAAATAAAGCATAATGTTTGAAGTATCTGTTTAATATTAGGGACTGACATTTCCTTTCTGAAATTGAATGTTTTATTTATAAACTAGTGATACACTTTGTATTTTTATTAATAGTCTCTACGTTACTCAGCTAACCCCTTCTACGTACTTAGTCCAGTTGCAGTATTTTTAAGGCGTTTATGTCCTTTAAAATTTGTTTGGAATTGGTCAATGATATCATAATTATTGGAAACATGGAGCTGAGACTGACAGATTAAAAGAAAACCAAACCCCTAATTTCCAAGAAAAACTAAATTAGTTTTGAAGAATATGTTTGCAGGTTTTTACTTTCTTTGGAATGGAGCATTTTGCAGAAGTTTTGTTCAGCCTATACTTTCTGGAAAAAAAAAACCAAACCACCTTCTGACTGATTTTCCAATCAGTAATTTGTACTTTTTCTTTACATGAGTGAATTGATGCTTTTCACAGTTTTCCAAGTTCCTGAGTTCAAGTGAATTACTTTGTCTTTAGTGTTATACCCATAACTCTTAGATCTGCATGCTCATTGGTTAAGACTTTCAAATCCAAAGTTTAAAGATAGGACGCCATATTTTTCATTGATTTTGTGTTGTTTGGCTTAGGTGGGTTTTTAATTAGTCTTCACGTAATTGGTATTCAATGCAACTTCCACCACCATCACTTCAGCTGCTTTTATGTGTCTGCACAGTTCTTTCCCACCAGTGTGTATTTCTAAAAATATTTTTAATTATATGCTGAGGTTTTTTTTTATGAACTAACCTGTGTAGAATACAATGTATGGAATACACTATGTTCAGCTCCTAAAACAGAACATGATACTTTTGCAAATTATTGTTTCAAATTACAGTTAGTGGTTGGCAGGGTGATATACCATTTAATTAGTTTTCTGGTCTCACAATGTCAGGTGCTAGGTCAGGCAAGTACCTCCTATTTCAATGGCACATGCAACACAACAAAAACTAAGATTTTAATGTTCTTTGAGTCCCTCAATTCAGTGTCTGTAGCAGGAAGATAAGAAAAGTAGTAGGTAGGTGAGTCATAGGTGCATGCCAGTGTGGTAGCTGCCAAATATTTACTGAGGTGCTCTGATTTTTCTAAACTTAAATTGGGGTTATGCATTACTAAATAATCTTGTTTGGTCCTCCCAGTTTTGGTTTGGTTGTTTTTGTGCTAACACTTCAAGCTTTACTTTTGAGTTTAGTGAATTTTGGTTGGTGACTAACTTTGCTATGATTTGTCTGCCTATTGTTTGTACAGACAATTAAGGTATTTTAGTAAAATATGCCTTGGAGAAGGACCGAATTAAAAGTTTAGTTGCCTACCATTTTACATGTAGCTATATTGGCAGACAAATCCATTACATGATCCAATGAAACAGGAAAATCCATTACATAAACATAAAGATTAATCTTCATTACTTGTATTAATGTATTGTGTAGCATTTATGTATTTCTTCAAGTTATAATATTTTTATGCAAGAGAGAAACTGAGGTAATTCTTGGAAGTGCCTACTAAATTTTAATATTTCCTTAATAGTTGGAGTTCTCTGCAAGTTTTAATATGTCTGATTTGCAAGACAGTAAGTGAAGTCTGTTTGAACTGGGCGCTTCTGAATGTAACTGATCAAAACTTAATTAAACCATAGAGTTTTCTTCTGCTTTGGTTTGTTTCTAAGATCAGAAATGCCCACACTGTGCATAACTGATCAGATATTGAAGGGACATCTTATTTCTGTCTGCCTAACAAGTTCTTTGAGCACCTTCCCTCTGTGGTCCTCAGATGACTTTGCATTGTTTTTATTTTCTAACATTGATATCATAAGAACTTACTTGGAGTTAATTAGTTAAGTATACCTCTTTGGCATGTGCACACACAAAGAGCTCATAGAGCAAAGCTTGATGGCAAAGCCCCGAACACAAAGATGGCATGAGATAGCTGACAGCCTGGATTACTTGAGACCAAGCGTTTGAACTAACAACTTGGTTAAGAAGTTCTTTATAGTGAAGAAGAGTTGAATTATTTATTGTTAGAGAAGCAGTCACATCGCGATGATTTACAGCTCATTATAATTTCATTTTTATAATGTTTATTTTCATCTATTTTAAACCCCTTTATTAGCAGTATTTAAGCACCACAGCTTCTAGGTTTCCTGAAAAAAAAAGACCCTTGCCGTCCTGTCGTTTGATACGTTTTAAGTACAAATTGGGTTATGTGTTGCAAAAGCGTCACAAATAATTTGGTTTTCTGCAATGCCTGTTTCTTAAATCTTTCACATTCAGGCTATAGAAATTGTAAGAATTTATCCCTCAGTATCTCAATAATAAGGCAGTTTTGGCAATACCTTCAGAGAAATCCTCCTTTCATCTTTCATATATGCTGTCAAGTCTTAAATATAAAAGGATACTTATTTTTAGCATGACATAATTATTTATAAGTTCCAATCCCTGGGTTTCTTTGTTCTCGTTCGGGGTGGTTTGTTTGTTTTTAAAGTAAAAATAAATCTAGGGAGCATCATATTGAACCTGAAGAGAGCTCAGGTGGCTTCCATACCAATTTGCTTGATCTCAATAACTATATGAATAAAAATATGGTCAGATCTTTACCTATTAACTTGTGTAGAAGAAAGAGTTCCTTTAAATAAAAGCTATGTCCCGAAATATCTAGAACTTCTTATACAAAAGAATTTTGATCATCCATTCTTCCATGGCATTTACTAGTAAACTGTCAAAAAATGAGGAGACAGGAAAATTCTCTCAGCTGGAATTACTGTTACACTCACCTGAATAGATTTTCTGGCACTGTTAGGTAGATTGTCCCTTGAGTATACTAAGATACTCCCTTGTGTATATTAATTCTAATTAATTCCCTCAACATTTGAAACTCTAACAATAAAATTTTAATTTTTAATATACTTTCTATTATATTTTTCTCTAACCGTCTCCCCGTCCTAAAAGAATCTATTTTTTTAAGAAATAAAATAAAGCCAGTAAAACTTACTTGAGGTAGCAGGGACTGTTGTGGTAGTAGGTAGAACTGTAGTTGTGGGTAATTTTTTTGGTCTAAATTTATAATGACCAATAAAACCATCAGCTGTTAAGCTCAAATCAGACAGAAACTGAATGAGCAACTCATTCCCCTCAGACAGAATAGGCCTGAAATAGAAAAACAAAATATTTCCATTGTTCTGAATGTCAAAGCCAGAAAGTTTTAATAGCATTCCTCTTACATGAAAAAGAGGGATTATTTCACTTTAATTATTGGTCTGGATGCAATATGTATCCCCAGAATAATACTGAAATGCGTGTTTGTTTGGTAGCCACCAGTCAGACACTGGTGTTCTGAGTGTGAAACTCTTTCTGATTAATCATCTAAACCTCTGATTTCTGAAAGTTATATCAATATAGGTATCTTTAATTTCTTCTATGTGACTTCATTGGAGACTTCACTTCCTTGGAACAGAAGGGACAAGATTAACACAGTAGGAAAATATATTGAAATCCTGAGCATGTAACAGAGGTAAGTAAATGCTTTTGTTTAGTTGTTGTGGGGTTTTTTAATTTGTATTTGTTTAATGAAAAACATCTGACATATTGGAAGGCCTTAAGAAAATGAATTCAGTGTTGAATTCTGTAATTCTTCAACAAAAGCACTAAAAATAAATGTTTTGAGTTATTATTTCTGTGGGCTCAGTTTTTGTCATTACCAAGCCCTTGAAGAGCTAATGGAGTTCCTTTCTTAGGATTTGAAATGTCATAAACAAGCACTGTTGAGTGTATTAGTTTTCAGCTCATAAACTGTGTAGTACCTTCTGTGACACTAACACTAGCTGCCTCTGGATGTGGATGCAGAGCAATGAGACTTCATTCAAGACTATTGTTGGAGAAAATCATATGGAATGCAAGTCCAGACAAAGCATCACTTCTCTCATTCTTCTGAGCTTTCCACAGACCTTGTCTCAATATTCATTCATAATTAGTGACACAAATTTTTCAAGCCAAACCACAGGTTTTGGAAAGGGGAAGAAAAATAAATACAGGAGCAAAATAATCTTGGTGAGGAGAGAGAGGAAAACAGGAATTGGTTTTAAGATGTAGTTTAACTAATGTCTGTGTTGTTTCTTCCCAGGAAGTCCAACAGAGTTCATGAGCAAGATTTTTTCAAAATGTTTAATCAGGCCTTTGAGGTAAAAAGTTGTCATCATATCCCAGGTTTTTTGGCAGGTGTTTCAGAATTCAGTTTACTCTGATGCTTGAGTCTGACATAACCAGCAGTAAGTGCTTGGTTATCTGGAATTCTGTAGACTTCAGATGCCACTGTAGTTGCACAGATTACACGTTTCTTGTAGCAGCATTGACACAGCCTGTGGGCATAGGAGGGCACTGATACCAGCTGCCTGAGAGCTCTGTTCTGCTTCCCGAACACCAAATGGGAACTACAAATCAGAAAATCTGACCTAGTCTGTTTATCCTGTCTTTTTTAAAAAGGCTTTTTGTCTGAGAAGCAGGGTTTTTTTGAATAATTACTTCTCCTAGTAAATTGCAATTATTATGTTTGCCAGTCATTTATGTATCATAGTAATTGTATTTAGGAATCAGGTATGTGGTTACACTGTATGCTTGCTCGTCTCAGATCTGAATTCATCTCTGCAACCACCAAATGAGTTCAAGGTATCCACTTCACTCATACTTCTGATGTATACTGTTTCTGTTACAGAATGCCACGTTACATTATCTGTGTGCTGGTTAATGAGTTTCACCTCGCATAATTACTGTGTCAGACATGCAACTAATGCTCTATAGAAGGCTTGTTTTGCAATTCACTTTACACACCATGATTTCTGTTTCTTTTACAACACTGGTCTTGTCCTTACTATTTTTCTGAACCCAGCTGATAAATTATCATGAGAATTCTTCAGAACTAGTGGAAAATCCCCAAAAGCCATACTTTCCCCTCTTTCACTGGATATAGAAGCCGACTATATACAAATCTGCAAAGGAAAGTAACTGTGTTCAAGCTCTACATTGGATCTCTGGTTAGGAAGCAATGCTATCCTAAAATGGACTTGCAGGACACTTTTTACATTCTGTAAAGGAAATCTTATTTCTAAGCTAAGTGGCCTGGCTCTGAGCACAGTATTATGCCCTTGTTTTCCTGTTTCACAAAGTCGATACTAAAATGCCTCTATTTTGAAGCCCACTGAGGTCTGGCAGGCCAGTTTACAGCTTTGACATGCTGTGGAGAAGATGCTGAGCCACAGCTGAGAAGTTGTTTAGGAAGCGACAGAGTCTAACTGGCACTTCTTCCTTTTGTACTCCCCTGTCAGCCAGGACCAGATCCTGACAGTGAAAAATGTACTTTGCCCAGCTGGGCTAGGTTTTAGCTGGAAAGAGGCAACTAAATCCCAGGGACTGGAGGCCACCAGCCGCCTCTGTGAAGGGTGATGTTCACTGCTGCCTTCTGAGAACGAAGGGGAGGACAAGTTCTTATGGAGTTTGGTTCTTAGCTCATTTGGAAAAGGTCTGAAATGTCGCACCTTGTATAGAGTTAAACTAGATTCTAATCATGCTTCTGGCTTCAACTCTGTTCAACTAGGAAGCAAGCCTTTTTGCTCCAGTGCTTTGGATCTGACTTGTGCACAACAGAACACCAATGGCAGGAACTGAAGGCATGTGTATGGAACATTACCAGGTGAGTGTTTCTCATCAGAGATACTATTAGGTTTGGGGTTTTTTTACAGTAGCTTGAAGGTAAATACCTTGCTATTCTGCAATAACAGTTGAGTTGTAAGGGATGGATCTGCAAAGTCACTCATGCTATGCTCACAATGGAATACCTGGTGATAAAGTATTAAGTAATGTAACTAACATCTCTCATCTTCTGGTTGCTTTTTTAATCCTGTCTAAAGAGGGAGGAGTCATTGCAATAGAATTCCTTTTGGGAGGGTATTTTTACTTCAGATGATGGTGATTTGTTATCTAATATATACAGATGCTTGCAGCGTTCAGGTCAAAGAAATACATCACTCATTTGGAGACCCATTCTGCCCATCTGCAGTCATTCTAAGTGCCACAGCACTGCAAGGCAATAATTCATCTTAGTTTCCAAGTAAAGCTCTAAGCAATAAAGTATGAAGTCAGTTTCATATGAATAAATACGTGAGGCAAAAATGGAAAAATTCTTAATGTCGTTGGCTAAGAGGTGGAAGTGAATGACCAAGGTTTTTAAGTCACCTCCTTGCCTTGAGGACTGAATACTAACTCTGTTTTACAGAATCTCTCTCCATGTCACAGCCTGTGAGTTGAAGGCAATATGGAAAGATAGTTTACTTTTGCTGGTGAAGTTTTTCCTGAAAACAAAGAAGTGATTATGTATGTAACTGCAGCTAGAATTTAGCCTCTTGCATCATCTTAGTGGCCTGAATTACCTAGCACTTAAAGAATAATCTTACCCATAAGACTCTCTTTTGTCAATATCCTTTTACAGAGCAAATTTTAAACTTTACTACAAGAAGGGGACCTGAAAATGTAGAAACTTAATGTAGAAAGTTTTAAATTGGAGGGGGGAAAAAGAAACAAAACGGAAAAAAGTGCAACTTGAGATGAAAAGGCGAAGGTGGCTGAAAGAAACTGATGTTGTATTTCAGGTGCAGCTCTAACCTTAATTAAATTCTTGCCAAATTTCTAGTAAGTTTCTGTAGGTCTAAGCTTACTCTGTTTCTAGCACTCTCATGCTATTACATACCTACTGCATGGAGAAGAAAGATCTCTAAAAGGGCTCTTTAAAAAGAGTCCCCAGAATGTTTGCCTCCTCTCCCATCTCCTGAGGGCATACTACATAACCTTAAAAAGCCCAACCAAACAAAAAACACAAAAAAACTCATAGTAAATCTCAGTCTAGCAAGCTATGCTTAGAAACAGCCTATACTTAGAGGCTTGCACCTCTCCCCCTGTACCAAAATTAGCTGCTCTTGGCAATCAAACTATCTGCCACTTTTGGGATACAAGTCTAGTCACACACCTCCATGTATCTTTTTTAATAGCTTGTATTTCTTGGAACAAAATGCATCCTCTTCATCTTCTAGAGCAACTCAGCTTTAAGAAGATTGATGGAAGAGGAACAGTGGGAAAGGAGAGCTAAAAATTTCTAGCCTCGCCCAAAAAACCTACTCTTTTGAGGGGAATAATTATGATCTACTCTTGCTAGACCTGATTATAATTGCAGTACTATTGGCTGGGTTGGGGATAGTTGGGGGTGGAAGGCTTGGAGGGATGGGTTGGTTTGGGGGGGGATAGGTGAGTTGTGGTTTGTGGGTTAATATTGGTATTATTCCAGTATCAATGGCATTAGCATTAGCATTGATGTTATTAGAGAGTGCCCTAATGATGGACAGGACAGAACACAGGTTGGAATCAGTGCTAGTAGTGGAAGGAGAGAGAAAAGAGAAAATCCTAGGGGAAGAGAAGAAATGAAGCAACTCCTAGAAGTTCAGTTTGAGGTAGAAAATGTCATATTTAATTAAAAAAAAAAAAAAAAGAAAAATATTTCAGCAGCCTAGTACAAAACTCTTAGCAAAATGACACACAGTGGTAGTAAAGTTCATCATTCGAGAAAGGTACTTACGCTGGTGGACTGTCTCCGCAGTACTTCCCAATTCTTTTAGCATCATTTATTTCCCCACCATTAAACACTGCAACATAGTCATATCTGCAGTAGTTGTCTCTCTCCACATCAAACTTCTCAAACTTTAACTCTATTAGCTGCAGAGAAAGTTAAATAAGTCATTATGGTTTTGATATACAGAGTTTATTAGTGCTTTTATAGTAAGTAACCTTTTCATATGAAAAACTAATAGATTTTTCTTTTCATAAAGGAAAAATCCTTAGTCCACTTAATTGTGGAGCAAAGTATTTTAATCCGTGTGACTTCTCTCCAATAAATAGTTCAACATATGACTAACATTCTATAAGACATTTTGTTCTCAAATATATGCAAGTAACTTGTGATAAAGTAATTTTTATGAGTGAATGAAAACAGGATAGTAGGTGTTAGGTTGCTTTTAAAGTAACTGTAATAAACCTAAACCACAAACAAGGGGCTTTTAGTGTCATTTTGTCATTCAAGATATACTAAAGAAAAAGCAAGGGCTAAGCTGATTAATAGCCATTTCATTGAGTTCAGTAAGAATAGGGTTTGAATCACTGTGGTTGCTAGTGCTGTGTTTACTTGATGCAGAAATAAAAAGGTCAGAAACAAAAATATTGACAGAAAGAAAACTGGTAAATAGTAAGACTAAAATCAAGAGAAAGTAACTAGTTAAAGGAATTGTGTTTCCATACACGATTTCCATAAATGTTTGGCTTTGGAAGTCGTAAGTGAGAACTAGTCTAACTAATATTTCAAGTACTGATGCCATTACCTCCAACATGGCTTGTATTTATGGGCTTTTCTACTTAAGAAAGAAAAAAAATGGACAAGAAAACAGATATGGAATTTAATGCTCTGAAATGGAAGTTCTGCAGTATGACTCTGTCAGTTGTGTGTAGCAAGGAAGGAGAGCACAACATAACTGCACAATTGAAACAGAGGTAATATATGCATTTAGGTTGTTTCTTTATATGAAGCACAACAGTTTTTAAATCACCTTCCCATAAATAGCACAAACAAGGCTTGAATGACAGCACTGAACTGTGCTGATTATAGATGTGCAGGATTTCTCTTTAAAGTTCAAACAAAGATGATATTAAATCTTTTAAGACTGTACAAAGAAAAAGGAGTCATTTTTACATTGCACACACTTTATTTGATTTACTGACATAATAAAAGTGGTCCTGTTCTACATTCATAGTAATGATAGCCTGCTATCACCTGATGTCTTAGTTTTGCCTGGATATGCTTTCGCACTGTTCAGATGTGTAAGGCATCATTTTGTCTCCCATAAAATGTGAGTAACCTAGGGGGACTTCGTTTCAGAGATGAGTAACAGGCTTGTTTCAAAAACCTTGTGGTTGTGAAGAAAAAATGCACTTTAAATAGAGGTACCCATCTGAATAACATGCTTACGATCAAAAAAGATTGTATAGAAAAAAGTAATGCAACTAGGAGAGGAAATGCTAAATTTTTCCATAGCAGGCAAAGCAGCAAGCCATAATATCTACTTTACTATTGTTCCTAAGTGCATGTTGCACTAATAAAGAAGTATTTCATGATAGAATAGAAGCTCTCCACCATCATGAGAAGCTCTTGCATCTTATGTAATAAAAGAAGTAATTATAGATTTGTATTAGAAGCAAAAGAGTGCCTTGCTTTATTGTTCACATGCTTGTGAAAGGGAAGTAGAAACAACAGCACCTAAACTTTAGCAAATGGAATAGTGAACAGCTTTTATGTGCACTTGAAGAAAGATGATTATTCACTTTCCTCAAAAATGGCTTTTGACTGTCAAAATTCTGCCTCATTTGCATGCAAACAACCACTATTGCAGTACATGAAAAATATTTATTTGGAAACTTGTAGATCTATGGAACAGAATCCTCAAAATGTACAGGATATGATGTACTTATTTTTATGCTTACATAGTCTTTCTACAAGCTTAGGAAAAGTTTTTAGGCTTATCTAGAGATATTTGGAAAGAACCAAAGTAATCTGCAGTTTACAGATAAAGTTTTAAAAATCACTGCCTATCTGTAGGATTGTTAGATAACCTGTAACGAGCAAGCAAGGAATGTGGATTAAAGAGGAGTACAGGAAAGACTAAGCTGATGCACTGCTGCAGTTCAAGGGATGAAATATCTTGGTAAATGGAAACGTGTGAAAGATCTGAAGAATATATTTATGTGGGGCAGCTTTTTTTTTTTTTTTTTTTTTTTTTTGCGGATTATGGTCATGAGCAGAAGATTAAGAGGAAAGTTGTCTTTACATATAGAGGAACTTAAGAAGCGGTATGTGGTTAAGAAAAGCAATCTACCAAACATGCTTGGTGACAAAAACATTCAATCGTAGCAGACTTCCTGCCAAGGTACAGAGCATATGGCTCAGCGACAACCAGAAAATGTGAAGCTAGGATTGAGATTAGCCCTACAGTGTAGGG